GCAATACATATTTACTTCGAAGTGAACCTCCGTCGACGCATTCTGCGACGAACGCGGACAAGTGCAAAGAGCAAGTTGCACCCGCACGAAGTCACCTTAACCGAAAATATCCTATTAACTGTATGAAAAGGGGGTGGCGCGAGGGTGAACGTGACGGAAGTCTTTGAAAAGCATATCCACGGTCTTCTAAACCCTTAAATCTGATGACGTTGTAAAACAGACGATTATCCTGTCGTCAGCTGGCCAACGTGGATAATCAGTTAGACGGTGGCATATATTAAGGCAAGGCCAATTAATCGAAACATGTTACGGTGCTGTTTAGAATGCGTGAGCGAGCGGGACCTATCTCGATTACGTTACGCGTTGGCCTCCTGCTAGTAGCTCGTGGATGTTAAAAGTTCTTTCTTACGTGTGCTTGTTTTTCTTCTCCTTTTTTTTTTTATTGTTCTTGATTAGTCGCGTGTAGTGTAGTATGCATATGAACGACAGCCTCCGTCAAGTTGAGTCATTTTCTTTTTTTTAATGATTGCGTGAGCACCGTTGGGAATAATTTTTCTTCGACGATTCTATTCGAGATTCGAGGAATTTTTGTGGAGTTGTAGAATTTTAACGGAAAGGTATTTGGTTGGTGTTTCGCGTAAATATATTTTTTTTTTGTTTATTTTATTTAGCGAAGATAATTTACAAACTTTGAGTTCCTGCGACGTTTCTTGAGTCGTTCGGTGAACGTCAGATTTCATCAACTGGTGCAAAATTTTAGAATAAGCGATTTGGTTGATCGAGTTTTTCATTTTCGAAATTTTGTAAAACAGTTTCTCGTTAAAATTGTTTCTCCTAATTTGTCACACCTTTGAACTTGTAAAACGTAATTGCCCCAATCTGCCGTAAATCTCTTGGAAATTACACAACTACAAGTTTCTGATGTTTTCGTAAAGACTGAGGAATGATTATTTTTTATCATTTTTTGCAAGCCAGTAAAACAGTTTAGCTAATTATTTTTTCTAGCTATGGCGGTACGAGAAAACTTTTATACGTAATTTAAATGGTTTCAGAGGGTGAATACAAGGGAAGAACAATCTTTTTGATGGAAGAAATGGCAAAAAATGAAAGAAAGTTTCACATTTGATTTAAAATTTTAGAGTTCAAGGTCATTTTACGGTGACATTATTATGCATGTTTAAATGCACATAAATGTCTGCTACGTCAACCAGCAGAAAAATGTATATAAATTCGTGTAAAAAAAACAAAAAAACAGAAGAAAATGGCATTTATAAAAAAATTTGTTCTTCACCTTTGAAACTATTCACCCTTTGAAATCGTTTAAATTAAATATAAAAATTTTTCCGTACCACCATAACTAGAGAAGATAATTAGGTGACCCGCCCAATAGAATATTCGTTATTTTTACAGAAAATCCTCGTTAACTCGATAAAATCGAATACAATAGCGCATGACTGTCAATCTTTCTCTCTTGATTTCTCTGCAATTCAATTTGCAAATTTCCAAACGATCATTTTCTCGACGAAAAATTTCCAAATAAAAATTTCAGCATCCACGAATTACCCTCGATACATTGTAGAATTTTAAACCAGAATTTCATAGCTCGTTTCAGAATTTCCACCTTCGGAAACAGCCACTGTCCTCGGACGTAAAATTTCCTCTAACGAGCGTGAAATATTTTATTATCGCAGCTTGCGATCCACTTTCGTCACGGTTGCCCGGAAATCGTCGAACCGTTCGCTAGAGTCGTTCTCCAAGTTTCAACCCCTTCTTTTCCTCCCCCGGTCAGGAAGATCGAAACTTTTCCTCCGAGCCGATATTACGGAGAAGTTTCGAATAAGGTGGCTGGCTGCGCACTGTCGTAAATAGTTTCATTCAGGATGATAACGAGAAGAAAAAACGTGGATCGGGTTTCTATAACCGATAACACGGTATTATTATACCGATGTTACGTAAACTCGAGCGTATTTGAATGTATCACGATAGTATGACTTGAACATATGTTGGTATGATTTATAGAGTTATCTTGTGAAATTGATTTGTACAATATTGATACTTTTGACGCGTTCTCTTGGGACATTTTGTATACACAAAGAAACATGCTCACAGCTGTTATATGTACATACATGATAAATTTGTAATAGGTAGGTCTTTTTCTAACTTCCTTCGTTATTTTCTTTATGTATATTTTTTGAGGAACAGGAATTTTTTGTAATTGAATTTACTGGATCTTTTTTGGAAAGGTTAAAATTACAGAAAGAATGGATATTTTTCTTTTTCAATTAACCCTACTTTTTTTTAATAGTATTTTTAGAAATTAAAACTTTATCAAAGTAATTTTCCTCTTTACAAACACCGCTTTGCTGGGGCATTTTGTGTACACAGAGGGTCGTGTACACTCTCTGTAGGCTCACATCTGTTATGTACACATGAAAATAATAACATTGTCATTGTTCTATATCTGTGACTTTCTTTGAATCTTTTAAATTGGTACTTTTCAAGGAAAAGGAATTTTGTTTATTATTAAATTTATCGAATCTCTTTTAAACAAGATAAAATTGAAGGGGAATTTTTTTAAATTGCGTTTATTGGATCTGTTTTTTAAAATTTTCAAATTAAAGAAAGAATGGAAATTTTTCTTTTTCTTTTCTTTTTTCTTTAATTGAAACTATAAGGACGTAAAAACGTAAATCGCAGTAATGTGAACATTACTTTGTTGAATCACGTTTGAAAAAAGAAACAGTGAAAAAAAGGAACGTAACAAAAGAAGCATACAATGGCACGCGTGTGTTAGGTGAAAGGTGAATATGAATGAACAGATAAGTTTATTTGTCACATAATAACTGCAAAACTCATTAAGGAATACCGCAAACCAGACGGCGTTTATTACTTTTATTCTAATTTCGCATACTGCTGGACGATAACGCTGTTTATCTTGGATCGCGTGTCCGTTTTCGACGCCAGACGTCGCAGATACACATTAAGTATCGCGAAAGAGGGAGAAGTTTGAAAATTAGTTTGTCAGAAAGCCAATTTATACAGATGTACCTTTAATTATAGCGAACTGTCTAAGTTCAACGGATAATTCGTTAACGCTTTCGATGCAAATTTTAAATAACAATCTTATCGTTCAATTATGCAATATCAATGTAAAATATTGTTTCATTTACTTCGTGTTTTCCAGTTCTTAGCAAACAAACAGTTATTGAAAAGGCTCGTTAAAGAGATATAATATCGGCGAAACAATAAAGAGATACGTTAAATTATACCATTTCTTTTATCATTTTACAAGATAAGAGCTTTTTAGTCGTTCGTCGAAACATGTTCTCCTTACAGTATCAGATTATTCGCCAGACAATCTTGTGTTCTCTCAGTGTAGGAACGAATAATATATTCGAGAAGAATAACGCGTATCGATGACCTTATCGCCGTGAATTAATTTAACTCCATGTCGGGGACAAATTATTGGACAGATAAGGCGAGTTCAAGTTCACAGAACTTTCCATCGCTCGAGAAACACGTTGAACAGTGAAATTAACGTAACGAAATTGATCAAATTCTCTGATTTTAACTCTGGAACATTAACATGGAGAACACAACGGCACAAAGCATTTTTTTTTTTTTCATATATACTTTTCTTCTCATATTTTCCACTTTTAACGTATCATTAAATTGAACAAACGTGTACTTGTTAATTTGTTTTTCGAACTTAAAATAAACAACTTTTACAATTTTTATGGTAAGCAAGTTGATTAAAAGAAGAAATACAGATATTATTTTCACTACAAAAAGTTAATGTTATTATTCCAGGGTTAAAGAGAGAAATAATAAAAATTTCACATGACTGCAATTATTTTACTAATTTTATTCATTTTGTCGAATTTATCCTCTCTTTTTATTAGAAGAATCTTACGATTGGAGTTTCTTCGATATTTATCAGTGTTACAGTGAGAGAGATTTTTCTGATGCATGGTCCCAAGGACTGCCAGTAGGCTTGTTAAGTAACACGTAGACGAATTCGCGACACTCGATCAGCACCGTGAACGACCATAAACGAACGCGTAATTCAGGCCCGCCTAAAGTGGTCTTTAAGCTGATCAACGATATAGTAGACCACTAAAGTGGCCTTCGTCAGCTGAAGGATAAGATCATCGATTTCTTGCATTGTCTGCACGCTGTCTCGACTGATGGAATGTTTATTAGATAACTATCAGAATCTGTGGAATCAAAACTGCTAATTCTGCCCTTGCGATCAATGGGAATTTATGTAAAATCCATCTCGTAGATATACAATTAAGATAGTCTCTTAACGGGCAGTCGAAAACGTTCAATTCCTTCTAGATCCTTTTCATATTCATTCAGATAATGTATAGGCTACATGTTACATGAATCTTATGAGAAATCGAAATTTTCAAATGAGCTGAAACGAACCACGTGATGTATCATCAAATCCGGAGAATGTTCGTTAGAATCAAGCATAGATCGTATCTTCTTCTAATTATAAGTTCACTCACAGCTCGAATCTTACGTTCTTAAGTTACTTGATATTTTGATATATGGTACCATACGAAGTACCCGGTAGCACTTTGCACTGTAAGGCTAAATGAATTCAAGAGTACTGGAGAAGCAACGTCTCTGATTAACCAAATTTTTGTAACATTTATCATCCCCACACACTTTTATTTTCCCTTATCATCTCTTCATTTTTCTTCACCTCTCTTCTCTTCTCATCTCATCTCTTCTATTCTATTTACTTATCATCTCCTCTACTCTACTCCCTTCCGATCTCTTCTCTTCTCTTCCCTTATCTTCTCCTCTACTCTATTCTCTTCCCCTATCTTCTCTCTTCTCTCCTCTCCACTTCTATAATGATAACACAGAACCCCGATGCACCTAGATTCCCCACTCCACCGCTCCAATTCTCATTGTATTCTGAAAAAAAGGCACACGAAAGAGCGCGATCGTTTCAGGGGAATCGTAACAGATTCTTCAGGGTTGCGTTACACGTAGCCATTCGCGTCTAGCTTCAAGGCGGCCTCGTACGAAGGCAGTCCCTCGTCGGACGTTTCTTGCTCCTCGTTGCATTCCGTGGACCTCACGGCAGTGTTCAGCCCCAGCAACGTGGATACCATCGAGGGAATTATGGTACCAGGCGTGTCCACACCGTCTGGCTTCTTGTCGATGGTGGCTGGCAAGCTTTTAGGGTCGAAGATCAAACTGTCGTAAGTTGGAGGTGGACCTGGACCGGAGTTTGGAGTCACTGGACACGATAGAGCGCCATAGTTGCTCTCATCTTGGTTACCCTCTGTCGTTGATTGTCTCTCGCAGCACTGCAGACAGAGAACACACGATAATTCAACCCTTTTCAATCTGAGCTATTTTTCTTAGATTTTTCGTCCTTTCTCCTCCTTTTTTCCTTTTTACTAATTGTTCTATTTCCTTCACAATCCCTTTTCCGTCTCGCATCACTCTAGACAGAAAATTGACGATAGTTTGAACATTTGAAACCTGAGCAATTTTTCTTAGTTTTGGCTAATTTCATTTTTTTTTATCTTTCTCTTTCCTCATTTTAATTCCACCGAGTTTAGTTACTTAACATTTTTACATACGAGTTAATTTCGAATTTAAAAGGGTTGAAAGTGCAAGTGAGCACCAGTACTCGTTCAGGCACTCAAGGATTAACGATTGTGATCTATTAATAGGCTTGAGGTCTTTAGTTTCTGTTACAGAGTGTACACATGGTAACAAATAAACGAGTGAAATTGGTATTAATAAGGAATATAAAGAGTGCTTTTATGTGCTTTAGAAAAACACTTTGCCTTGTGTGATTTCTTGTTGGTTCAAACGTCAGGTATAGTCAGAGGATATTTTTATTCGTCTTATGAATGTTTTATGTCCGATGACTGACGTGGGCCACTGCTGTGTCACGTGTTACGAGACATGTTAATGAGCTTTTGAACAGTGATGGAAGTTAATATCGATACTGAGTTGGAATATTTTTCAGAAAATTGATAGTTTTATTTATAAGAAATAATAATCCACTTTCGTTACTTCCTTCCAACATATTTTATATTAAATGACAGACATTCTAGCAGATATTTTTAGAAACGTCCAGACGAGTATAATTTATACAAGTAGCAAGGTATCTATCATTGATTAGCCTTTAGTGTGTGAACGATTTATAACAAGATGAATGTACAATTTAAACAGTGACTGGACAAGTGTTATTCTGGAAGAGTCAGCTGAAGAATGATGAATATTCTAATATTTAACGTCCAGCTGACACAAAGCTTGATCGTTCAGCTACCGATTATATAAGCGTCGATTATTCATTGCTGGTCATCTCGACATTAATTGTCTGAAGTCTAGACGTTAATTAGCATCGTACCAAATGATTACTTCATTCAAATTAAAGATGTACACTTCCTATGAAATAACACCCATCCAAATTTATCAACATTCAAACCTAACATCTACCATATAGTACCTGTCTCTTTAAAACTCATTAAAAAAGGAAGCAACATAATTACGAAATTGCGCTATTACTATAATTGCTCTCCATTCAACTTTGTATAACATCATGGAAGTTTGAAAATAAAAAAATCTTTCATTTTCAATATTCTCTTTCATTTGCACCTCACGTTACATGTCTCTTTTTCATTTCCATCCTCATCTTTCTCTTTCGTTTGCATTTTCAGAATGAATATTCTTAGCTAACCATAATTTCTCCTCGTAACGATCGACTAAAAATGGTATGTATGTATCTGCAGTTACTCCGAAAAATATTCAGACATTAGAAATAGGTAAAGGTTGGGTAACTTTTCTCGTAGATAATTACGGAATTAAAATGTTCAACTTTTTCAGAGGATGTAAATGCAACTCTCAGCTTTTTCCTCCAATTTTGTAAAAATAAAAATGTTACAAAACGGAGGAGTTATGTATTCGCTAATTGCGAAATCTCTTCTCCTAGAACGTTGATTGCGCCAGCAAGGATTGGAACGTCTGAAATAAAAAATTCTTTATGATTTATATAGAAAATATTATTAACGAAGATAACGTTCGAATATTCGAAAATTTTTAATTATTATAGAAATGGTGGCAGTTTGATGAGGAGAAACCTCTTTTTACCAAGAAAAATCAACTTTAAACGTTTCTAACAAATTGCATAATTGATATATCGAAAAAATTGTATTTATAAATCAGAAAGAATTTTTATTTTCAAAATTCTAATCCTTACTGGAGATGACGATCAACAATCGACGTTCTCGCAGAAAAACTTTCACAATAATTCCTCTATTTTGTAACTTTTTTATTTTTCAAAAATTGGAGAAAAAAGCTGAAAGTTACATTTATATCTTCTGAGAAAAATTGAAATATTTCGTTTAGTAGTTACCTATGAAAAACATTTCCAAACTTTTACCTCTTTTTAGAAGCTTCTAAATGGTGGTACATACTCCCTCAGTAAAACAACGAGTAAACACGGTGCAGGTAAAAATATTCATAATATTTTAAATATTTTGTATAAATTTATAACATAATACAATAGGCCCTGTATAACTACCGTATTTTGAATATTATAAATATAGATAATATGAACGTTATACTATGAATATTGTATGAAAATGCATTAAACTAACAATAACGTGATCCTAAAGTACAATACACGTCGTTTCATAACGAAAAAGCATCACCCAGTCCTTTTATAATTAATCGAAATACATCATTAGAAAGGCAAACTTATATAAGGTGTACAACGTAAAACAGATCACCTAATTATCTCCTCTAGCTATGCTGGTACGAGAAAATTTTTATACCTAATTTAAACGGTTTCAAAAAGTTTTTTAATAAATACCATTTTTTCTCTTTTTTCTCTAGGTCGTCTACGGACATTTCTTATATACCTATCTCTACGGATACGCGTCAAATTGACGCGTGAACGAAACCACAAATTTTCTTTAAAAAACAACTTATTTCATTTAACAACACTATTAACTTATAAGTGAAACTATGTGATATTATATATTTATATGAAATTTATAATAAGCATAAATGGTAGGAGAGAAATGTAAACGGTTTCCATAGTTGTCCTTGAGAAATTCTAAATGTGTCAAAATGACCCGTAAACCTAGTGTCAAACATACATAATAATATGCCTTAAAATGACTATGGACTCTAAAATTTCAATCAAGTGTGAAACTTCCTTTCATATTTTGTGATTTATTCCATCAATGAAATGTTTCTTCCGTTTTACTGACACTTTGAAACCATTTAAATCACGTCTAAAAATTTTCTCGTATCGCCATACCTAGGTAAGATAATTAGGAGGCCAGTTTCCTGTGCAGCGTCTACCTATTTTTTCTAGTAACTGTACATCATAAAGACGGAAGAATAGTCTAAAGTGGCATTTCCGTCGGTAGCATAACCATCGAAGCATAGCGTGAAAGGACTCGTCCTAGTCGCGGGATCGTGTTAGTTTAGCCAAGGCGACCGCAAACTATTTCACCGCAATTGATAGCGCCGTATGCCAGCCAGTTATAGTCTATTCCGCGCATAATAGCGTTCAGTTTTGCGTTTAACATGTTACCGATTAAACGTGTTCGTTCCTTTTCCATCGAACTGGGCCATCTTGTTTCATCTTTCTTCTTTTTGTTTTCACTTCTTTTCTTCACCTACATTCGTTAGATGCGAACGTGCAAAGCTGCGGTTTTACCTCGAATATGTGTGTGTGTGTGTGGAAATAACAACGTTCGTTGGCTAAACCTAAATCCAGATTGATCTGATCGTGGACCACGGAAAGTTCGTTTCGCGTGTGCTATTTTAACTAAACGTTACATATGGAAATAACAACGTTCGTTGGCTAAACCTAAATCCAGCTTGATCTGATCGTGGACCACGGAAAGTTCGTTTCGCGTGTGCTATTTTAACTAAACGTTACATAACGTGTACGCTTAAGTGCGATCGCGGTCGTGAATGAGAATCGTAATAAGCTCGATGTACTTGGTGTGCTTGGGTTAATCAGCGGCTGTGAAACTCGAGGCGGTGATTTTCTAAAGGTAAAACGCCTGCTATTCTTTTAACCCTTTCCGGTTTACCTGCTGCTACTATCGAGTTGTACGATGTTTATTCGACTCATTTTTTAGCGGTGCTTTTTTTCTCTATTCGTTTATATTTTAGTATACGGAGAGGTTTGGAATTTGAATTGTTATATCGTTACCTTTGATTCGAAGAATCTTACAGACAAGAAATGTTCGAATATGGTAGTAACATACGTGGAGAGAAATTTTTTCTAGCGGTACATAGAAATATAGTTGTGCATATGGAGAGGTTTGAAATTAGAATTGTTATATTGTTATGTTTGATTCTAAGAACCTTATCGGTGAGAAATGTTTGAATATGATAGTAGCATACGCGGAGGGAAAGCGTTTATTAGAAATTTCTTGCGTCTACAGTGGAGAACGGCGAAACTCTAATGATAGATATACCCTGAAACCCCCAAGAATACTGAACTCTAATGTTAGATGTATGTACTTATGTATCTCGAGAATCTCTATCCTTAGGAATACTAGGTTCTAATATGAGAAATATTCCGACGTATATTCAATTATACAGAATCGCTAATGTCAGAAATATCCTCGCATCTTCAAGAATATCAAACACTGGTTCCATGAATAACCGCAGATCCTCGAGAATATTCAATTTTTCAAGGCGCTATTAATCTAAGACGGTGGAAAACATTTTTCTTCTGTTTTCAGTCTCTTCGTAAATCAGTATTTACTTGAAAACAATTGAAAATAAATTATTAGTATTTTTTCATGTTATATTACGCACACCTGATGTCCTAAATTTAAACTTGACGGTGCACACGTGCACCTGGAGTCTCGAAAGGGTTAAACTGCAACGCTATAAATACCCAGCGTGTATTCAATAATAACAAGTCTCTGATATCAGAAATATCCTGAGACAAATATAGAAAGTGTTAGCTAAGCAATCTACCGCAACTATCAAAACGATCCACTTGTTCGTCTTCCAATAATTAACCAAGAAATTCTACGTTGCTATTCTTCGCTGAAAGACACCAGTAAATTTTCCATTCGTCGATCAAATTAATCGTTCGTTTACCATACGCTACACGTTTCTAAATGTATCGAATCGATGCGAACAAATGAATAACGATCGATCTCCCGATAAATTATTCTATCGTAAGCATAAGTAATGTCACTCACAGCGGCGTGCGCTTCCGTGGTGAAAACCTCGAGACTGTGCACGTCCGGTTCCGTTCTCCAGTACTGTGGGTACTCTTGCGGTCGGTTCTTCCGGATGCTCTTGTGACAGCAGTAGCACATCAGGAAGACGACCATAATTACGCCGCTGAGCATCGCCCTGCAAGAACACGTCGTCCGTGCCGCGAGTTAGACAAACGTAGCACTATCTCAAGAGAGAATGAGAGAGAAATTATACGTGGACCATCGAGCGTATATTTAGCGCGCGACAATCTCTTCCAACATGGCAGACGATGCTCGAGATCGTCTTAGGGCTCAGTCTACCATATTATCGAGTCATTAGGAGAATTTCGGTACCTCGTGAAATTGTCAGAACAATTGACAATCAGCCGTGATTAGTAAACTGCACGTAACTTATATTTGAACTTTTACTATACATGGTGTATCTAGTAACTGGGTCGAGTTATAACTCGGTTGTTATTGAAGGTGGCGAAAAAAATTGTAGAGAAAAGTTTTGCATGGTTCAACAAGCTGTACCATCCTGTAATGCGGCTTTTTACGCAAGTGCATCGGTGCAGTTGCAAAATGTAATTGCACTGGTTTTTTGAATGCTAGTCTATGATTTTTGATTTCGCGTGAATCGATTTCCTGTGCTGTTCTGAATAAAAAAGTATTAGGGTAGAATCGTGAAAAACTCGATACTTTTCGAAATATTTATCTCTTTTTCCATCAGCTACACAAATGTTCGAAACATTTGAAGTAAATGTTCAAACGTTCCACCTTTCTAAACACATTGTTCAGTTGTTCCTCTACAGTTTTTTTTTTCTATCTTCGATAACAACCGAGTTCTAACTCGGCCCAGTTACTAAATATACCCTGTAAATTAGGTTGGTGCTTATAAAACACGTCATTTTTCAATTGGAATTATTGGGTTGGAGCACAAGTTCGTAGCGTTTTTTAAGAGAAATTCAAAGATAATATTTAGATATTTTTATTTTACCACATGTGCCATTTTGTTCTATTATCTTTCGCCATCTTTGAGGCAGTTTCATGATTTCATCCTCCCAGAACTTGGCATCTTTCTGGGCGATGAACTGGTCCAGGTGGTTTGACAAACGCTACGAACTTTTGTTCCAACTAAATATAATAGAAAGTAATATCAGGCTATTTTAAATTGAACTTTAAATACGTTGCATTTTTCAAAAAATAATATATTCAATCGAAATAATTTCCATGCGAATCTATACATTTTCTCCAACGATTAAGTAAATAGTTTCATTATTAGCCTTTGAATGCTGCTTTTACAGTGTCTTTATTTCGGGATAATTTATTTGTTAAAAAATTATTCAGGTGTTTGAAGAAATGGTAGTCTATTGAGGAAGGGTCGAGTGAATTAGGTTATGGCAAAATTTCGTATTCTTTACCATCGATTGTTTTCGATAATTTTTCCTGAAACGTTATCCAACGAAAAGTCACCAATCTTGAATTTTTCGTACCAACGTTGAAGTGTCTTAACATTTACATAACCTCCTTCAAATGCTAAATTTGCTTACGGAAAAACCGATATTTCATTTGCACCAACCTAATAGAAGTTAATGAGATTTTTGACGCTTTCACGGCCTGGATTACTCGAATTGTTATTCGAGACTTTCGGGTTAGAGTCGTGTCCAATGGTTATTAAATTCCGACGTTCCCACCAAGATTGCAGTTAGCTTCGTCAGGGTATCGAGACACACTGATAATTCATTGAAAACATTAGTTACGTAGGTACAACCTAATGTATTTCTAATGTCCACGAGGTGCAAAATTATGGTCACGGTAAATCGATTATCTTTAACATGTTTCTATGTCTAAAGTAAAAGAAGCCTTTTTAGTAGAGACTGAAATTAAACGGATGAGAAGAAGAAGGAAAAGATTCCACTGGATTTTATTCCCAGAAAATCGAAAAAATTGACGTAGCTCGTAATTTACTAGAATTATTGTAAAATTAAGACTAACAAGGCTGGATTGTCTGTATTGTCGTTCGAGACTTTTAGGTTTGAGGTGTGATCAAAGTTTATTTAATTCTGACATTCCACCAATATTACATCACGTATTTATGATGTGTAACATTTATTATATAAATTATGTAATTTGTAACATCTGTAATACACATTATAAAAATATATGTAGAGTACCTATATAGAAACATATAGAAAAAATATAGTAAATATTTATTCATTCAGATATAGTAATTTTCGTTACATAATCCCTTAACAAGAAACTCAGTTTAATTGCTGCTGTCCATTAAAAATGAGTAAGATATAACTGCATGAAAAATTAGATCATTTTTTCTAACTTTCAAAAAAATCGTCCCTGAAGAAGTTAATTGCAATGTTTGCGAAATGTCGGTAATTGTAAAATTGTCGCTTAAGAATTGTTACAGTAATTTTGAAGGATAACTTGGTAATAGAAAGTTCAATTGCAAATAAGTTTATTCCTTGAAAATAACGTGCTCATTTTGGATTCCAAGGAGTCCAATCTTGGAATCTTCTCCTTTTTCTTCTTATCCGTTCAATTAACACGGAAGAGTTAGGTTAGTGGAATGTCTAGCTGGAGTAAATGATGATCGAATTAGCTGCATATTATATTCTAGGTGTTTCGATGTTTCATT